CTGGCACGAGACCAATAGATAGGCGCAACAAGACTAGTCCAAGCTAGGCTGCCGGGACTCAGCAGCTTTGCTGTTTTCAGTTGCTGCGTAGGAAATCAATCGGCGCAACAAGCCAGGTTGCCGGGACCGTGTCAGGACCAACATTGCATTCCATTTGTCCAGGCCTTCATGAGCCTAGCTTGGGGTTGCCCCTGATGAGCATGCTCGGGCAGTCCCCAGCCTGATACCCAGCGCTTCGGATTTCCTCTGCCTAACAAGATTAGTTCAAGCTAGGATGCCGGGACTCCGCGGCTTTGCCGTTTTCAGTGGCCGCGCGGAGATCCACAACAAGCCAGGTTGCCGGGACTGACCCTTCAAGGCAAACCCGATTGGCGACAAGTGCCAGCTGCCCAAGAAATGTCGGGGCCATGCCCCAGGGCCTTGGGGCCCAGTCGCCCAGGATCTTGGGGCCCGGCACAAACACCAACCCCAAGAACCACGATTTTTCTTCGTTTTTGGAAAATCTCCTGGAGAGCCTGGCGAAGGGGTGGGAGGAAACGCAGCCGGGATACCCCCCCACATGCCCCTTGTACGGGAATAAAAAGAAAATGGAAACCATTGCAGAAGGGAATGTGAAAATGGGAAGCCAAAATTGAAGCTCTACTTTTGTATTTAGGGTTCAGTGGGAACAGGGATGTGTCCCTTTAGTAATCCCTCTATATCCTTCTAGAATAGTTCCCATAACCCCATCTACCGTTCCCTGCTATGCACTTAGACCAGGGGAGACTGCTGGTGTGGCCCTATGCAGGCGCAGAAATGTGCGCTAGCTGACCCGCTCATTCTTATTTACGACAAGAAGATTTCATCAGCGCCGGCCCTATGCTGCTCCATGGAGCTCTCGAGCAAAAGTATGTTGCGAGCTATGACATCTTGATTGCTGTTTGATTAGGTTCAGAGCATACTGCCAGTGTTGGAGCACACCATGAAGGCTTGACGGGACCTGAGTGCGAAAGGTTGTGGTTGCTCCTCGCAAGAATCGCTTGCCCACCGTGCCAATATCAAGAATGCTTTGCTACCTAAGTGCGAGTGTGAGACTTGGTGTCTTCCCGGCCTGGACACATGCTCAAGTCTAGTGCGCTGCTTTTCTCATATTCTGTCACAGAAGTCTCACCAAAGTCGCGTGCACATAAACGCCCCTGTCATTCTCCCCCGCAGTCTTCTTGTTTCGTGAAACCCTGATCCCTACACACCACTATGTCATCCCTGTTTCCATATCATTTTCCTATTCCTTTCCACTTGAATATCCGTTACTGTGGTAAAATCCTTGTAATTCCCAGATATACACGTTTGGGGTGTAGAGTTTGAGGTTTTGAGTTTGGGGTTTAGGGCCGGGTTTCCTTCGTGTGGACGCTTTCGGCACCCAAACTCCCTGAATTGCCTGGCTGTGGCGGCTGTGTCGGCAACCGCTGATTCAATGTCTTTTCGATGTGCCTTCTTGTCTACGTTCACTCTTAAAGTGTGTCAAGCGCAGCAGGTCAAAGGAGCCTAAACCTTAGGTCCTAGAGCCTAAGCCCTAACCTTTGAGAGAATCCGCTGCTCTTCGCCTCTAAAGCCGGCCCAGAGATTCTGCAAGGACAGCTGTTCACTGAAGTTCCGCCCCAATAGGCTACATGCCTAAAAAACCTTGATTAAGAGCAGAACCTAGAGGGGGATAGTATAAGGGCGGGGGGTAGTTGGGGAACCCATGAGGGGCTCCTCGTGCTGAAGATGATATCAAGCAACATACCCAATTGGCCTGATAAATTGGACAGGCGCAGAAGCCCTTACTGATCATTGCTGAGGATGTTGAGCAGGAGGCCCGTCAATCCCGTTACAACCAGTGTTGCATCATCCATACTTTCGTCGCAGGTGGCGAGTGAGATGTCCCTTTTCAATATACTAGTGTGCATAGGAATGATAGAAATAGCAAGAGTCATCGTAGTAGTAATAAGAAAAAGCTGAACCAACTTATTCGTCATCAGGCATTGGCGACCTTGGTGGTGAACAAGCTTCGTGGAGGATTGCAGGTATGTGCCGTCAAGGCTGGTGACATAAGAGCGCAGCCCAAGTCCAACTTTCAGGTGCAGCAAAACCCAGTATCCATTTCATGTTCTTCTCTTTTCCAATACATTTTCCATTATCTAGTAGTTTCCATTCCATTCATGATAAATAGCGTATTCATGTTGAAGCAAGCAGCAGAGACCCTGTACTGGCAGTGGCCCCTCCATGTGGGAGTTTCTCAAGATAATTCGTGCTCCATCCCTGACATGCACCCTATAATCCTGTTGTAATCCTTTCATATGTTCGTAGGCCCTAAACCAAAACCCCAAACCCTAATCCGTTTATAATTCTTGCATATCCCTAGGGTCGCGAGGGGCCTCCCCTTTCCTAATGGCAAGGCACCTGGTTTCGGCGACCATCGCAAAGCCATGTTGCAGGCCAATTCATCCCACAGCATGACCAGTGTGGTCAAAAAGGCATTGCCAGCCAGGACCTGTCTGTGCTTACTGGGGCTGAGCTGATCAGCGAGGACCGGAGCTTCGCTTCTGGGTCATGTGGTAGGAGAATGTCGCCAGCTGATTGTCAGGACACGGGTCGCAAGCTAGATGAGACCTTCGATCCCACCGTGCTTGGCACTGCAAAGACAATCACCGTCACGAAGGCGCGGCAACAGTACTAGCTGTTCAGGAGGCTGTTTTCTGCTGTTGAAGGACGATACAATCATTCTCGATGGAGCTGGCGAACAGGTTGGCTTCTTGCTGCTTTTGTGGGATACGGCTACTGTGGGGCCTGCACGACGTGGCAGGCCGACATCCGGTCACGTTGTGAGCAGATCCAGGCTGCTGTCGAGGCTCGTCACCTGCTGAAATGGATGTTTGCGGCATGCTGCTATGGTGACAGATTAGGTGTTTCTCTGAGGGAGGCTTTTGCCTGAGGTATTGCTTGTGGTGAGCGTGTAAGTGTCTTGTGCAGATAGGCTGATCTGCATGACAAGCATGCTTTTGCTTTTGACGTGCTTTGGCTACTCTTACTATAACTAGTACTATGACTGTATCTCTTATGACTGCTCTTCCTGCAATTGTTGAAGGTTTCGCTCCACTGGTTCCGTGAGCTTTCCAAAACCTACAAGCTGGTCCAGATGGGTTGTTTCTGCAATATGTTCGGAATTCACTCCTGTACACGGGATGGAACGTGTTCATCTAGTTATTGTTGTTATTGTCAAATAATTGTGCTAATATATACTGGTACTACACTGGGTGTATTTATGGTTGGGGGGCTTGGGGGTGCATTATTTGAGGGAAGATTATATTTACCACAGGTGACGTCTTCAGAGTACGAGCGGGACAAGTCTTCAGCTCAGCTTTACCGGGACAGGCCGACATTTGTCCTTGAAAGCCTTATGCCCTAAACCCTAAACCTTGAACCCTCAACCTTAAACTCTACACCCTGAACCCTAAGCCCTTAACCACAAACCTTAAGCCCTAAACCCTCAACCCTGCACCCTAAGCCCTACACCCGAAGCTTAAGCCCTAAATCCTGAGCTGCACCCTAAGCCCTAAAGCCTGGACCCTGCACCCTAAGCCCTAAGCCCTGAACCCTGCACCGCACCCTAAACCCTAGCCCTGCGCCCTAATTAAGCCTTAAACCCTGCACTCTAAGCCCTAAATTGAGTGAGCCCGGGGCCGTCGCAGAGCCACAAGCCCTGGCGACTGCAGTCTCGAAGGCAGCTGGAGACCCCAAACCGGGCTCCCGGCCTCTTCCTGCCTCCCAGGACTAACCTTGACAGGCCTCGAGCCTAACCCAGACCCAATCCTGCACCCGCCTGGGTCCAAACAAGTCCAAGCCTTGCTGCTACACTCTCTGACTTACATCAGTCAGAGCCACAAACACGCACGCATGGAAAGAGTCTCATATTGGTGAAGCCCCGCAGCATTGTGACTGCTTGCTACAGGAGCACCCCCAGGTTCCAGCCCGCGGCCGAAATTGGCGGCTGCCCACCACGTACAACTACACCTACGGCAGCAGGTGGTCCGATGAGGAAAGGTTAGGGGTAAGCCCTTACCACATCGGCCAGCAGGCACGCTGGGCGGACTAAGCACTGCTAAGCGCGTGCGGACGGAGGCACAGGAGTCTAGAGAAATCCACGCTGAGAAAGGGAGCAGCGGCAACAGGCCTGTGCTAAGGGCAGAAACAATGCGGGAGCAATGCGAACACGAGAAGGCAAGTGGCAAGGGGACAGGACGGCTCAGCCGGCTGCGGCGAGCTCAGACCGGCGGCGAAGCACCGTCCCAGTGGTTCAAGCCTTGACGGCCGCCAGCAAAGGCTCCATCCCAAGAGAAAACAAAAAACCTCAAGCCAGACCCAGCCCAAACCTTGCACTCGCCTGCCCTAAGCAGGTGCACGAAAAAATGAGAAGACAGGAGCGCGATCAGAGTTCGAGAGAACCGTAAACCCGCAGAGGTCGAGGGTGGAGCGCCAGCGGGGGTGGGATCATACCGTTCGGGGCGCACCTGGGTGCTTTCAGCACCTGCGCCCCCTCCATGAGACAAGCCCTAAAGCCTGAACCCTTACCCTAAGCCCTTAACCCTGCACTCTAAGCCCCAACCCCTGAACCCTAATTAAGCGCTAAACCCTGCACCCTAAGCCCTAAACCGTGAACCCTGCACCCTAAGCCCCTAAGCCCTAAACCCGGAACGAGCCCTGCACCCTAAGCCCTAATCCCTGAACCCTGCACCCTCAGCCCTAAATCCTGAGCCCTGCACCCCCAAGCCATAAACCCTGCTGAACCCTGCACCCTAAGCCCCAAACCCTGCTGAACCCTAAGCCCTAAACCCTAAGACTTCCAAGGCTCAGAGAGCGGCTCGCCAAGTTGTCAGGTGGTGTGGCCGTTATCAAGGTGCTTCCGTACCCAAGCCTTACTGGGGTTAGTAGGGGGTAAGGGAAATATGTCATATAGGGAGTACATAGAGATTACGTAGGGATTGTATTGGGGTCATATAGGACTTATACAGGAATTGTATTCCCTTATTCCTTACTAACCACCAGTAAGAAGCCCTGCGCTACCAGCACGGGCTATTCGACTCTTAAGTCCCTGCCCCTAATAATGAATTGCACAAAACCCCCCTAACCACAGGTATCCCTCCTTAAAATACAATGGTGCTGTATTGATGGGTTTCTTATTGTGGGGAGTGGAGGGCCTACTACTTTAAAAGCCCCTGAATCGACCCCAAAAAGGATGCTGATAGAAGTTTTTACGGTCTAATAGCCCATACTGGAGACCCTGAACATTGGGTCATTCCCCTGACAGTAACTGTCTCTTTAGGTGTCCTAATAAGAGGGCGATAAGAACTCCTATTGCCCATTATGGGAGTAGACACTGTGAGGGGGAATGGACCCAACCTAAGCCCTAAACTCAGTTGAGGGCTTAGGGTGTAGGATTTTGGTGGGCATGATGACTTCGCAGGTCGGAGGTGCATCTGAAGTCGAGGTCTCGGAGGTGAAGGCACGCAAACCACGCTGTTCAGGGTTTAGGGTTTAGGGTACAGTTGAATGAAGTACTGAAAACATTCAGAAGATGAGTGAAAATAGTGATAGAATACACAGAAGATAGTTGGGGTAGTAATAATTATAATACTTCGAAAGTAGTTCTATTAGTAATACTCATGCTCAGAAAATAGTTGAAATAGTAATAACAATGCTAAGAAAATAGGTATAACAGTAAGAAGACTATCTAGAAAATTGGTATAATAAAATAACAACAGTAAAACAGCAGTAAGAATATAGCTATGGTTGTAATAGAAAGTACCGTAGTACTAAACATGCTACTACTAAGTATATTGTTGTGACGGCTGCCAAGTGCACCGTGGTGCCTGAAAGACCAGGACAGACTGAACGATGCACTCAATGCGACCAAAGCAGCTGTGGAGGAGGGAATCGTGCAAGGAGCCCAGGACTTGTTACTCCACAACCGGATAAGATCGGTTCATGCTGAAGTGATGGAGCCCATGGAGAAGCAATGAATCTAGAGGCTACAGACTTTTCAAGATTCCGTCTTCCAACAAGCCAGCAGGCATTTGAGCAAAAGCAGGCTGTGGTGCTGTGTTATGGAGAGAGGATGTAATAGGACCATGGTTCAGTATTTTGAAGCCAGGGTACATTGCTTAGCTGCACATCTTGGCAAGACTAAAGACACAACTCAAACTACTATGTTGCGGTCCGGTCCGCGGAACGTATGATTCCATTCCAAGCAGAGGGATCAACAAGGTCTCGGCCTGTAGCCTAAACATCAGCAGTTTAACGTTCCTTGGCCTTTGGATGAGCTGCATTCCCAAGGCCAGGTGGAGGGACGGCCCTCCTTTACGCCTCCAAGAAGCTGGAGGACAGGGCTGCATGTGGCTGGCTTGCAAACTAACTCTTCCTGTGCTAGTCTCTGGAGCTGGGGGGCTTTGACCGCAACGTGGGCCGCGACATCGTTCGACAGGCCTTGCAGGCAGGCAAAAACTGATCTGCTGGTGTTCGAAATGCAGATAATGCAGTTTCTAGTGAGTTAATTTTTGAAGGTGCCCTTAATGTCCATCGTGCAGAACGCAGGGAAGGAAGGCAAGTCCAGATGGATATTGTCAACAGTCTTCAGGCATAGGTCGCGTGGTGGCGAGTTGAAGAGGTGCTGTGGTGGTGGAATACTTGCTGAAGCAGAATGACGAAAAGCTTTGATCTCAGCCTGAGCACTCGTGAAGTATACACCACTATATCATGTCAGTTTCCATTTAATTTGCTGCTTTCTGTTCCATTTGATCCTCCATTGTTAGGAGGAAGAGGGCTGTTCATTATTCTATGTTCTCGCACCTTGATGGTTGTGCTGCTTTGCAGCACCTTGACGACGGCCCAAGGCTAGGGTACAACGCACAGACGGGCCAGTGCCCGATGGCATGTTTGTAACCGCAGGCGAGATAGGAACGCCCGCTAGACTGGGTTGGGAGCTTTGCACTCTCCAGAAAGCTCACCTTCTGGGGCCTTTCTAGGGAATAATTAAGGGAAAATATCTTGTAGGGACTACATAAGGCTGTATTCCCTTATTCCCTACTAAAAGCCAGAAGGCACACAGTTTTCTGAAGGTTTCATTGCTGAGGGAGGGGTGGGGTAGCTGTGGTGGTAGCTGCAGACGCCGCGTGGCAAATGCCCTGACAAAGTTCGTGTTATCCGCTGGCTTCTAGACTCGGTAGTGCAGGTACGTTGACATGATTGCGAACGGCATTATAGCCCCAGACTCAAGCGCATTTCGCATAAGAAGCTGCTCATGTTGCAATCGGTGCTTTGGATTGAGGATCCGACAAAAGTTGTGAGATGCGCTCTCGCTGATGCAGCTTCTGCACCGCGCTCGCAAGTCAGAAGCTTTCACACACGATAATGTCAGACTTGGCAGCTGGGCAGGTGGCCTCCTTGATGACGACCACGGAGTGCCTGGTGACAGAGATTCCCGAGGAGAAGCCTGCAGGCATTGAGAGTGCTGCAATCTGCAGCTCAAAGCCACATTTGTTTCGAAGCACTGCAGGTGGTGGTCCTGGTGGTGGTATGGGTGGCATGGGTGGCATGGGCGGCATGGGCATGGATGATGGGTGGGACTGAGCTGCCCAAAAGTAGAGGCCCATTACGCCACCCTGATGAGATGCCAGAAGCATCGAGCAGGAAGAGATGTGTCCCCTCAGCCTGCCCCAGAAAAGCGTGTGCCCGTCCGGGGTGCAGGAAACTCCTAGGTCCATAGTCCAGTTCACAAGCAAACGTGCAACTTCCTGCGCTTACCGGGCAGTCGGGCAGTGAGTAATTCGGACGTCTTCCGTTCTGTAGCTCCCCGGAGGTGGCCACGGCCACTGGGAGGCACCAGGATTTTGGAGGTTTTGGACGGTGCTTCCGCTTCTCACAGACCTGCCGCAATTGCGCGACTTGCAGCTGCTCTGCCGAGATGTCGTTCAGGCAGAGCTCAAGTTTAGAGCTGTTTTTTGGGAGCACTTAGATTGAGCCAGGAGCAGCTAGCATGTGCCAGTGTAAGTGCTGGAGCATGATGCTTCCAAAGAACACGGCATGACTGCCTCGAAAGACCGCAGCTTCAGGGAGTTTGTCCCGGCCTGCTCTCTGATATGTGCAGGTCGAGCAACATGCTCTCGCAGACTCTGTGCAGCGCAAAATGAGAGATCCGTGTCGACTGGCTGTGGGTTGTCAAGGATTTGCATACTCGCCAGGTTGTACGGAGAGAGGATGGCAGTAGATTTGGATTTCGACATCTGAGTGCATTCCCCTGCAGGCTGAGCGCAAGTCATCGGCGACGGCTCTGTAGAAATGGATTGGATTCGACAGTCGCCGCACGAAAACTGGAGTTCAAATGCAATCACAAAATGTGCTGTGTGAGTCTGAATCCCACTGCAGCGGGACCTCAAGCCATGCTCATCCCCAACATTTGAACACAGAACTGTAAGAACCACATTGGCAGCTGCACACCCTCAAATCAAAGTTGAGGCCAGGAAGTTGGGCGAAGTTGGTAGGCCACATCAGGCGGTGCATCAAGACATGAACATACACTTTCCCAAAGCATCCTTTTTTACTGGTGCCATGACGCTTTCTTCGCAGAAGGCAAGCAGCCATGCTTGACTATGGTGTCTTATGATCCTACCTGTCGGTAATGTTTGAGGACCACCTGTAAGGTTTGACTTTATACCTCTCCGTGGAAAGCATCCCATGCAACCCTAAACCCTGAACCCACACGGAAGCTGTGCTGGTCTGCAGCTGCAGCCTAGTGAGTGACAAGCAAAGTTGAACAAGGTTCCGCGGCTTCAGACTAGTGTGCGTTCCTTAGTGGTCCTGCTGTTGGGTTGCTATTAAGGATTTTGATTTAACTTGCCATACTAGGAGAACCATATTTTTGTAACTTAACTTAAGTTCCTCAACAACAACCCAGGCTGTTTCGCCGTCGTATGCCAGATTCACATGTGCATCCTGTAGATTCTGAGGTTCTGCCGAAGCAGCAGAGGTCCTCAAGCTTGGCTGGTTAGGGATCTACACCGGTATACGAGAATATATACATATGTACACATGTATATGTGTATACGAGTATATATGTACATATGTTTATGTGTATGTACGTAGATATATGTGAATATGTTTATAGAAAAGCAGATAGGACTATGTAAGGGCATACATGTATATATATATATACAAGGCATGATATATACAATGTAGGTATCTATATATAGATACATACAGGGATACATGGCTATGTATGTAGCCTTCATGATTCACGTGGCAACGCCCGGCACAGGTCAACCTCAGATCCTCATCAGCCAATGGGTCTCTCAATGTGCCACTTTGAACCCAGGGCTTAGGGTTTGGAGTTTAGGGTTCAGCGTGCCATGTTGAACCCAGTTCAGGCTAATTATTCAATACCTACAGGCCGAGATTAAACACCTCCCCCACCCCTAATGCTAAGTATGTCCCCTCATACACGAGGTCGGCTTTGAGGAAGATTCATTATTAGGGATGCGGGGCTGTTCAACATTAGCATGAAGAGAGAGGCCAGTATTGCAGTCCTCAGATGCCAATCGACGGCCCCGTTTCCAGAAGTGTTTTGGATTGAGATACCATGCATCGTCGGCTCAAAGTAGCCGCATGCCTGCTGCCCATAGTCAGGGCCTGGTGCTCAGAGGTGCTTAGCTATCCCCTGCACTTCCAGACGCTTTCGTTTACGGTGGGTATGGCATGGTCTTTGATGTAATTTTTGAGCCCAGGCAGCTGAGGTGGTGTGTGGCTAGACAGTTGTGAGATTAGTATGAATGTCAGCTAGCTGAATATACAACCCGATGTAACCCTAACTAACCCTATATATCCTTATATATCCCTATATGTTCCTAAGCATGAGGCATCTTGATGATCCTATCCGTTTGGGTGCTCTTCTGCCTTCGCATCCTGTACGCGGACCAAGATGCCAAACACTTAGCCTTCGAAATCGGGCGGGTTTCTAAACATGAAACGTACCATAATATACCTTCGGGGGGTCCCTATAGTAAGGCTTATAGTATATAGGGGTCCCGGTACTTATCCAAACTATCCCGAAAGATCACCTGAGCTCACCTGCACAAGGGTGACCTGTGAAGGTTTTGAGTTCTGGACAACTGCGAATTGGTCCTGGAACCAAGCAGTCGCTGCTGAAAGATGGAGGCCGATCCTTTGCTACCCTAAACCCTAAATTGTAGTTTCCATTTTCTTTTCCATTTTCCCTATATAAACCCTATACTATGCCTATAAGCTTCCATTTTCTTTTCGATTATCTCTGTACACCGCCTACATATCCCTGGCAAGACTGTAGGGATAGCAGCACAGGTCTTCGACAGCCTTTCTATAGATCTGCAAGTGGCTGGACAAAGTTGACTTACGACGATGAGAAAGTGGAGTTGACGGTGAAGGCGCGGCAGAGTGCGCAGGTGCAGGAATGGTACATAAGGTGAACAGTCTACCAACTGGTGCTTAAGGGAGAGTGGGAGAGTGGATCCGTAGAACAATTCCTACATAACCCCCATGTCTATAATAGTTCTTATATTTACTCCCCCAGTCCCCCTTAAGCACCACTAAGTCTCAGGTTCATGTGAGACTGGGAAACAATGGGTGCTAGAAGGCAGCTCCTGCTCGGGCGATCCCCCTTTCCCCTGGTTTTCGATTCCGTTCATTGATGATCACAAAATCTAGCTTCTTGGAGCTTGGCAGTAGCTGTGTTTCACGAATCACTGGGCCTGGCCCATCATTCTTGCCATTGGCTTTAGGCTCTGATTTTTCAAGCACTGCAAGGGTTTCGCGGGAATGCCTGGACGGGCACTTGAATAATGACATGTGGATAAGGAGGCACCCCTCCTCCCTGCTCCTGGAGGCCATGTAAAGATTGAGATCCTATGGGTGGGGCAGGGGACGGGCCTGCCATCCTGCAAAAGAAACGTGTTCAGCTGTACCTGGTTGGTTCGATCCTTGGGTTAGAAAGCCGTACGCTTGCCGAAGCCAACTTCTCGTTGCCCATGCGGATTGAAGGTTGCTAGCACGCTTGAGCAAACAAGTCCAAAAACCTTAAAGCAAAGATCACAGCTATGCCTATTCCATGTTGAGGCACAAATCACACGGCATTTTTTTGAAGTTTCGGGTTGGGAAATGCTCCCAGTGAACCCTAAAATGAAGTGAATAGGTTCAAGCGGCCTTCATTCATGATTGCGCTTCAGGCCATGCAATGTGCAAGCTCGCGGGGGGCGCATGAAAAAGCGACCCCAGGGTTTGCAATACACAGGGACTTGAAAAGTGAAGCTTCCCCTTTCTCTCCGCCCCTCATGCTGGACAGTTCATGCTTGGTGTGTCTTGGGCTGCTTCAAACGATATCTTCCATCGCCAAACTTGCGCTTTGGTTTGCAAAACTGCTGCACATTTTCAATGAGCACATGAATGCATCACTTGTGCGTACAGGTCGATGGTCAGCTGGCTCGAATAAGCAGGGCGCCCAAAGTTTCTGCTGAAATGGTGGTTGATGTCGGAAGTACAAATACACCATGTGTCAACGTACTGCACAGTGAAACACTGAGGAAGCGTCTCGCAGAACATTCACAATGCAACGTACGCGGAGGTTTCGTCTGTCTTGACGGTAAATGATGAAGCTCGCGTGACTTGGTCGTGTTCTGAAGTCCTGTTGTAGCCACTGTTCCGCGAGAGAGCTCAAGAGTTTTGCGAACCCCAAAATAGGGGGACCCCAATATAAACCCCAAAATACTATAGTCCTTATTATAGGGACCCCCAAAAAATGTACCCCTAATTTTGGGTACAGACCTGCCTAGGCCTCTATGAAGCGCTGCTTGGTTGCAGTTGATGCGTTGTAGCAATCTTGTCCTGGGATTTTCTGTGCTTTCAGCCAAGGAATTTACAGCTTCCCTCGCGGTATCTTGGTGGGACCTGATTACGCCAGGGCTTCAACCCTAAACCTAAGCCCTATATAACCGATTGTAGTAATTTCCATTTTCTTTTCCATTATCCCCACATAATCCCAATATAACCCTAATATAACCCTAATATAACCCCAATATACCCTAAACCCTCAACCTTGTCTCTGGAGCATTTGAGCGCCACCAAGGCATGGTCTTCAGATCAGAATTCCAGTTTATGGCTCTGAGTCCTCTAGCAAGCATTGAGGCAGGGCCATTAGGATTATATTGTGGTTATATTTGGGTTACATTAGGGTTATATTGGGGTTATGTTTGGGTTATGTTGGGGTTATATTGGGGTTATGTTGGGGTTGTGTTGGGGTTGTATTTGGGTTATGTTGGGGTGATAGTTGGGTTATGTTGGGGTTATATTGGGGTCATATTTGGGTATAAATTGGGGTTATATTAGGGGTTATGTTTGGGTTATGTTGGGGTTATATTTGGGTTATATTTGGGGGTCATATTTGGGTATAAATTGGGGTTATGTTTGGGTTATGTTGGGGTTATATTTGGGTTATGTTGGGGTTATTTTTGGGTTATGGTTATATTGGGGTTATATTTGGGTTATGTTGGGGTTATATGGGGATAATGGAAAAGAAAATGGAAACTACTATAATCGGTTATACAGGGTTTAGGGTTTGCGGTTTAGGTCCCTCTGCTGGCGTGCTCTTAACAAGTTTCATGTAAAAGGTAGCTGGATGTGAGTTCCAGGAATCTCTCTACAGCCCATGTTCACATTGCATTTCATTGTCTGCTTTCTTTTTTCACTTGCTTCCCCATTCTTGGTAGCTCAAGTAAGTTCCTTAAGCCCACACAACCAACCCTGAACCCTAACCCTAAACTTAATTTGAGTTTCTCAAAGGCAACCCAGTCCAGGAGGGTCTCCACAGATTCGGGGTCCCTCTTCGGGGGGTATCTACAACCCGGACAAAAATGTGGTCTATACTTTTACTGGGGCCCCCATTCTCGGAACCCCCGCCCAAAAAACTGAGCAGTCCTGAAGGTCTGGATGGGCACGTCAGATGATTGGATTGGAACGACGGACACGCCGACAAAGGAGCAAGGTTCCAGCAACTAGCTGGCTCTCCATCCGATTTGTTTTTGCGAAGAGCCCTTAACCCTGGCCATATTGAATAAGTCAGTTCCCGCATGCAGTAACAATTACAATGATGGGCGAGAGTAATGTTGATAGCCCCTGCATCCAAGCCCTTAATATAACAGCTACAGTGAGAACGATCCGACATATTCAATGAAGCCAACTAAGAATATTCCCCAGACTGTATAATGTAATGACTACTCCAAACTCTAGGAACATATCCAGTTTAATCCTAAACCCTGAGCCTTAAACCCCAAACTCTGAAGCCCTAAACCCCAAAAACCCTAAGCCCTTAACTGTGTCAGGTGCATTCCTCGGTGGTGGCTTTGTCCCCGCGGCTCACGGAAGCGTTCTGCATATCTTCTCTGGCCTGATCCTTAAAGTGAGCCGTTTGAGATGCATACTAGTAGTAATAGCATCACAAGAATAGTATCAGTAATAAACGCAGCACTAGTGGTTATAGTTCTAGCATTAAAAGATGGCAAGAGTAGGAATGGTAATAGTTGTAGCCATCAAACTTAGTCAGCGTCATAACTTTCGAGCAAGTCAGCTGGAGTCGAGCCTTAAAGACGCAGCAGTCCAACACAGGAGCAGTACTTCTACTTTATTCTTGTTATTGCTGCATTATTTTCCTATTTTCATCATTTCTGCGCTCTTACTGTTATGAGTACCATGATTATCACGACCAGCGTATGGTTAATACTAGTATTTCTGTTGCTATTGTGTTAGTACTACAACTAGTATTATCATGATTATGTCATTAGTCTTATTGTTATGTTTGCTTTGCTGCTACTACTTTTTGAGTAGTAGTACCGTTATCACTGCTATACCGTTATCACTACTACACTACCATTATTGTTGTAATTATTTTCATCATATCTGGTGCTGTTGTTACTCGAATTTCTTCTTTTACTACCGGTTTTTATTTGTGATTACCACTACTATCGCTACTCTTATTTTTACGATTCTTACTGTTGGTATTGTTTTCTGGCTGATACCTGATTGCTGGACTTGGAAGAACAGGTCGTAGGGGTTTGTGTGTTCGGGGTCTTAGGCCAGGGCTGACAGAATGCCATGAGTTTCTAATCCCTAAACCCAGCCTTGTGTGGGCCTGACGCTTCCCTGGGTTCTCCCCGCGCTTGCCATGCCTGACTGAGGCTGTATTCTGTCATGGATGGCTATTGCTATTACCATTATTACTACTAATTACATTGCTACTATTCTTGTGTCACCTCCCGCTATGTCTGAATCCGTGCGAAGCTCTGTCAGATCTCACTTTGAGGTCTCATTGAAAAACCCATCGGCCCGTAGAATGTCATTTGGGGGTTTCCCGAAACCAGGGTATCTTTTGGGGGTCCCAATAATAAGGACCATTGGATTTATGGATCCACACTGGGTCCCCCTGTTTTGGAAAACCACCATGTTTTGACCGTTGAGAGGTGACTTGTCAAACTTGACAAGGTGAAGAAGACATGTTCGTTTTCTCACCCCACTCTGAGAGCCACGCCATCATCCTTTCACACTATGGCCATTGGCACGACGTGTTCGTTCGAGCCTTAGCAAAGCAAAAGCACACATCAAGGACTTGCCAAAAAGCTACAAAAACAGATTCTATGTGTGGCTGAAGGGAGCGACGGTCTCGGACCTGCACTCGTCTGAGTCTGATGGTGCATATGGCATCTATGTCAGAGCCCCAGTGCTTGTTTCAGACAACGAGAGGCAAGTCGCAACACATTAGCTGTGTACCCCAAGGTGCCTGTAGGCCCCTTCTCACATGGTGAGAGCAAGTCAGTGAGCATCTACTGGGCAGTGGCTTGGAGTTAGAATCAGAGTTGGGGGTTTCCCAAAATTAGGGGTACCTTTTTGGGGGGTCCTTATGATAAGGATTATAGTATTTACGGGTCTATATTGGGGTCCCCTTATTTAGGGAAACTACCAGTTAGGTTTTCAGGTGTGAGTGGGCCTGAAGCTGTGCCAGACTAAGATTACTGGTGGTTAGGAGGGAATAAGGGAATATGATCCCTATGTGATATATTCCCTCGTTCCTATTCTAATTTCAGTATATAACCGATTATTATGTAATACCTTCCATTTTCTTTTTCATGTTACCTCTATTACCCCTAAGTGCCCTTATGCCCTCATTCCCTACTGACCCGCCAGCAAGCAAGGCAGCGGGTGCTGAGCATGTGGGCGAGCTTCTCCACGAAGCAGAGTCTGCTCACGATCAAGGCCCAAGCTTGGGCCAGCGATTTGTTTCTTGTTGCTTCGCTGCCCCTTTCTTGCATGTGCTCGCCTCGAGACATCGCCACCACTACATCTACCACCACATCCACCACCACAACCGCAGCGATGCTTGCCCCATGGTTGCAGCGGTGCCACGGTGTGCAGATCTCCTGCATTTGCGAGTTGCCAGGTTTTGCGGACAGAGGGGCTGAAGCTGCAAATGCTGCCAAGTGGAGGTGGAACAAGCTAAGCAGCTGAGTCCTCCAGAGGAGAGTCGTGAGGGCTGCATGGGCTGCCTGTGAAGGCCTTGGGCAGCCGTTCTACAAGTCCAATGTTCGTGGTTGGACGAAGCTGACCTACAACCAGCAGAACCTGGACTGCAATGTCAAGGCTGGGCAGGTGGGTGCATGGGAGAGGTGAAGAAGCTTCCATTTTCTGCAGGTCAATGGGCAGCTGACTGACATGAGCCGCAGAAGCCTCAGCTTAAGGAACGCCCGCCATGCGCGGTCTCGCTGCGATCCAAGAATTGCAGCATTGCAACAAGATGCCCAGGCGACGTCACCCTGGACTTTAGGAACTCGACCTACGCCAAAGCCAGCGGCCCCTTGAAATTGTCTGGAACACCCCAGGTGCCCTAGGGCCTTCCTCACAAGCATGCTGCAGTCACATGCAGTTTCGGTCATGCCTGCAGGTGCAGCTGACCAGAATCTTGGAATCCAATCGGTGCTGCACAGCACAAGCGAGGAACAGCATGCGCTGAATGACTTAAGGAACGTACAGCTTCACCGGCAGGGGCTTGGTCTTCAAGGCAAACTTCCATGTCCTGGCGCTGGAGCCTGTGTCCAGCGTGCAGGCTGAGCACTCCTAGAGTGAGGCGCCGGCAAGCTGAACGATCCTTGTGTGGCAGGTGTGGATGGGCACTTCGGATGACTGGATTGGCACGACAGATCGACCTACGAAGGATCAAGGTGGCTAACCTGCATTGCGTGTTCTCTTTCCGTGGCAGGTGCTCGTGAGCACCAGCCCAGGCAGCTTCCGTGGTGGTGACTTTGTCCCCATTCCGCACGGCCGCATCTTGCGGGTCCATTCAGGCACCAAGTGCACGACGATGTAGGATATTTGAGCGTGGAAGCTTGGAGATGTGTACCCTGAGGTCATGAGGATGTTTTCGTGTACTCGACTCACCCTGATAGTCATGCCATCATCCTGTCCCACTACGGCCAATGGGGTGACGTGCTGGCTGAGCCCTGAGGGGCTGCAAGGACGAAGCTATTTTGGGGCTGTCTATCGCCAGATCCTAAGGGCGCCACGCAATCGGATCTCCACTCTTCAACCTCGGATGGTGCCTATGGCATCTATGTCTGGATCCCAGTATGAA